CTCAGCCTTGTCTTGAAAACACTGGAAGGAAGAAGCCTGTAGCAGTTTTTAGGGGTAATATCTTTAAGAAAACAGTGATGTTTGATCATTGCCGGTTTGTTCAGTGGTTAGAGCAGTGGTTCCCAACATTTTTGGCCATGCCCCACCTAAGCATCTCTAAAATGCCCCGTCCCCCATGACATATAATTCTTATTATTCAAAAAGTGAACTCCTATTCACATGGAGGAAGCCTTAAAGGCCATTAACGTGGTCTAAACAAGCTCCCAAAGACATGGCATCTATAAAAGAGAAAACTAAAAGAATGAAAAGACAGTTGAAGTACTGAGAAAGAAATTGTTAAAAATAATAATAATATGAAGTGATATGAAAAAGTAGTAAATAAAATTTCAAAACAACAGAGAACTGAAATGCTTAAATATGTCACTGTATATTTATATAATGTATGTGAGGCCCCTAGAATCATAAGAAATGCAAAAAATTCACTGTTAATAACTCATTCTCAAATTGCTCCCCTTAAAAGTCAAATTGGCCCCCTATGGGGCATGTGCCGCGCATTGGGAACTACTGGATTATAGCAATGGCCCTTGGACCCTTCACTTCCCAGTCAAGGGCACATACCTTGATTGCAGTCTCGATCCCAGAAGATGTTGTTGGTTTTTCTCTCTCTCCTTCTCCTTCCTCCCTTCCACTCCTTCTAAACATCAATGGAAAAATATCCTTGGGTGAAGATTTTTTAAAAAATAACAAAAAACCCCAGTGATGTTTGCTAGGTTATTCTTAGAGATGGGAGACTTGTCTTTCTCACAGACTACCAGGATCTGTAGGGAGTAAATTGGAACTGAGAATGAGAACAGCCTCTCCAGGACTGTGGATTAGGATGGAGTTATTGGCAAGAAACTTATTTAGTGTGGTGTATGGAAAGCACATGGGCTGAGGAGGCAGGAAGACCTTTGTTCTAGCTTTGGCTTTGTGTGTGTGTGTGTGTGTGTGTGTGTGTGTGTGAGTGTGAGAGAGAGAGAGAGAGAGAGAGAGAGAGAGAGAGAGAGAGAGAGAGAAGAGAGAGAGAGAGAGACAGACACTGAGAGACCATGGCAAACCCTCAACTTTTCTGGGCCTTAGGCTAGATATATTAAAAGAACAAGGGGACTCTCTAAGATCCTTTCTAACCTTAAATTCTTTGACTGACCAGGGCACCAGGGATAGCAAGGACATTTTAATTTGACAGCATATTTTTAGATGTCATTAAGCAAAGAAATCAGCTTAATTTCATCTTGTAAAGTTAAGAGTAATAAATCACTTATCTTACTACTTTGAGTAAGGAGAATTAGAAGAAGGGATCATATGTGACTTGTGTATTTATATTCTGATCTAATATTAGGTAAGTGACATGTTGTAGTCAAGAGGCCCAATTATAACACCTGGAAGTAATCTGGTAATAGAATGACTCAGAGGAATGTTAAATCACTATTTTCCCCTGAGAAAACTGAGAAAGGTGTTTATCTACATTTTTTCATTGGCATATGTGCATGTCTTGGGAGTGAGGATGCTGGGAGGTAGCCCCACTGTGGGTAGTAGTCAAACACCAGATTTAAGGTCCCACTGAAGATCTTTCATTGATGAGCTCATAAGTGGTGAAAAGGCTGCCAGCCATGAAATCAGCAATAGAATGCTGCTCAAGGTGGCTGTTTGTCATAAGCTCAGCTGGGCATGGTCACAAGCTTGGTGGGCAGAAAGAATTTTGAAATAATGCCACGCCATAATTGTGAAAGAGCTAGGAAACAGTGCTGACTGAATAAAATCTGTACTGCAATCAAATGGTGACTCTTTTTGAGGAAAGGCTTTGTTCTGGTTAAGTCCTGGAGGATGGGCCACTGACAAAGGCTCCAGCCAGAGCTGCATGGGAAAGATCATGCAGTGGACATTGGTTGTTTCTCTCTGTTGTCATCACTTTGAGGACTAAAATATAATTGAAAAGTTTTATTTACCTCTATCTAGAGCTTCTAGGAGAAAAAAGAGAATTGTTTCATTTCTAAATGCATTTCATTTTAGTAAATAAAGCATTATGAATAAACCCAAATAAAATTCAAAACAAATTAGAAACTTGGATACAAAATATAGGTATTAGTGCCACCATACAAAGAAGACCTCTCTAAGGATGCAGAGATCAACATTCAGTAGCCTCTGTCCTTAGGAACTTAACTTGAGTGAGGGAAACAGGTAAATAGTTAATATTTATTGTTTTATTCAGTTTTTATACAATGTCTACTCTATACAAGGCTATGTACTAGATGTTGAGACTACAAGGTAATCTGTTAATAGAGTCCCTATTTTCAAGACATTTATAGTCCAGAGGAGAGGAGTAAATGAGTAACCAGAGCACAGGGTTCATGGAGTTATATATGAGGGATGAAATCATTAGAATGCATAACAGAAATTGATGCAGGGGACTTTGAATATGTTCTAAGAATGGAACTAAGCAGTGTCAAGGAACCTGTTTCTTCAGTGATTGTAGTAAGCTGTGCTTAAAATTATGTTCCAAGAGTTGTACATTTCTGATGTTAAGGATGATAATAGCCAAGAATTTTACAATGCTTTCTGTCAGCCATAGTTCTAGTGCTTTTCATATAACAAGTTATGTAGTCCTTACAGTAATCCTATAAAGTAGGTGTTAATATTAACCAATAAACTTAGGCCCAGAGCAGTCTAGTTACTTAATAAATAACAACTACTAGTATGTAGTGGATCTGACATTTGGTTCCAAAGTTCATATTCTAAGTACGGTGCTAAGTTAAGACTTACAGAATTAAGGGAGTCATCTACTGGAAGAACCATTGTTGTACATTTTTGTAGGTAGAGCAGCTTAATATTAATGAATTTATATCTGAGCAGCTAGGAGAAAAAATTGTATATACGTATTTTTTTATTGTCTAGAAATAAAGCTTATCTTATAATTGTTGGAATTGCCTTGTACTAGCTATAAATTATAATAGAATTATTAAATTGAAATAATAGAATTTTTAAGTTGAAATCATAGGAAATACCTTTTGATCAATACTGTCCTCCATTAATTTACAGAAAAGGGCCTTCTTGAATTTTAAATATCTCTAAAAGAGAATCTATAGCCTTCCACAATCAGGAGCTGTATCCCACAGCTCTTTGAGGTGGGGATTTCCCTATTCAGTCCAATGTTCTCCAGGTCAGTAGGAGGTTGCTTTCTCTATCTCTCATCCTTTGAAATGTCTGTCTCTTTTTATAACACTAGAGGCCTTTAATTTATAAGCTGGATTTGTAAATTGATGGTGCCCAGCCTGGCTGGGCCTGTGGTGCATGTGGCTTATCTCCATGTTTGGAGGCCTGCTATTTGCTGCTCTCAGGGAGTTAATAAGAGCTTTGGTGACCTGGTTTGCCCAAAATTTATAGGCTCAAATCTAGACGATCTGAAGGAAAAAAATAGAACGAAAAAGTCAAAGTTATGGTTGTAAACTACAAGGAAAGTTAGAATCATAAAACCGGCATCAGTATGCTACAGACAAGAATTAGAAGTTAGGAAGAGCCTAGAAGGAGACATTTTTAATTAAAGCAGTCCTCAAGACATTTGAAATTGTTCGGATGATTTTAAATAGGCAACCCTTTGGCTTTAAAAAGAATCAAGGATTCAGTTTTCTGTATGTGGTGTTAAATATAAAGACATATAAAATTTAAGAGGAAAAGTAATCTTTTAATGTAAAGCCATTTTGATTTATGGTTTTCTGGCCTTTGATAGCCTCCCTGCATCTTGATAAATACATTGAATTGTTTTAAAATGGTATTAAAATAATTTCTTTTGCAAAAGCAAGTATTTTTAATGTAGCAGTTAAGAATATCATTAGGAAGACTATTGAAAGTGATGTCTACCATAAAGCTGAATGGTATTGCTAAATAAAGAAAAGGATATTTAGACCTCATTTGGACAATTAACTAAAAATAAAAGTAAACTTTTACATATAATATTGAAATCAACTATGGACTTAAAGAAATTTACTAAGATAATATTTTGTCTAAATTTATTTTCTATTTTGTTTTTTAAAACTTTAATTTTATTTACAGAAGGAATAAAAAGTACTTTAAAAAAAAAAGCATTACAGATCAAAGTTCCCTTTGACTACTATCCTTCCATCATCCCAGAAGTCACCATTTTGCCATTGTTTCTTCCAAAGCATTTTCTGAATATTTATATGCATATATTTCTATGCATATAACAGAAATATGTTTTGAATAGATGTTAAAAAAATAATTCACAGATTGTATTGTTTGCTAGTTCATTCTAAATATGACCTTCCAGTATGTTTTGGTTTTGATACTTCAATAATATTAATAATAGCAACAGACATTTATTGAGTAGCTATTATGTGCTAGGCAAGATATTTAACATTTTATATATAATTTATTCTCATAACCTGCATAATGAGCTTCGGAGGTGTGAACCCTAAAAAGGATTATATCCACCGGGAAAGACTCCTCATGGTTATCGGCCCCAAATCATAATCATAGTCTAGCAGCCATTGCTAACAGAGGTCTCTCACAGGCTGCATTTCAGGGAAAAGCCACAGACTGAGCTTCCAAGCTTCCTGAACTGTGCTCCTGCTGTCTGATATGACCTGTATAAGGGAGCTCCTGGTATCATCTTTCAACCAATGCACTGAGACCTGCCCCAACCAATTGGAACTGTGCATAACTGTATCTTCATTTGCATTTGCACTGACAAATCAGAGAAGCTCCATAATGACCAATTGGAGTGCATGAAGCTGACCAATTAGGACAGTGCGATTTGAATCAATCAGAACTATGCTGTTTGGATTTCTCATCTGCATTAAAATGAACCAATTGGGAACTAGAGCAGGAACTTCTCTATAAAAAGTGTCCTCCCCTTTGTCTTGGTGAAGCACACTTTTGATTTTCAACAGAGGCTGCTTCCCCCCAGTTTGCAAATTGTTCACTTATAGTTCCTCTTTTTACCGCAGCCCAGATTGAGGATTCCCGTTGGCATTGGGTTGGTGGGAGCAACCTTTTGTTGAAATAGGTGAGTATTCTATATTCATTTTATATGAATAAAAATTTACCTTAATTTTATCTCACATTTACATTGAATTGCTAATGCCAGTAGTTTATCATCCTTTAATAAGTTTTCAAAAAGATAAAACATTTAGAATGATTTAAAAATTGTTAGGAATATAACTTCTAGTTCTGTTAGTTTTGTTATTCACATGACCTCGGCCTTTTTCTACCAAGTCCCTGGAGTATCTTTGCTGAGCCACAAGGCTGGGAATAAGAGGGTGACTCCTGCTCACCTTTTAGGAATGTGGAGGCATTTTTGTCATTATCTGACTCATTCTACATGAAGAAAAGACAACCCAAGACATTTCCTCAGTAGTCACTGCTTTTAAAAACCTAAGCCTGTGATGATGTTCTTGTTTGGGGGAACCGTTATAGGATATAAGATCTAGGAGGAAAGAGGTTTGTTTTTGAAAGATGCTTTTCATTGTGCCCTTAGTCATACTGGTATGAGGAAATAAAGGTTGCTGTAATGAGAACTCTGAAAATTTTTATGGGAATTGGTAGAAAGGAAGTGATATTGGGTGGGTTGAGAGAAAAAAATTTGTGCTTATTTTGTATACCCTGATTTTGGACTTTGGATGAAGATATTTCAAAATTACATGACAAAATTGATATTTTAATGAATGGGATAGCTGTCAGAAAGGTTTAAATCACAGTTCTGCTGCTTACTTGTAATTAGCTGGGTAACCTTGTAAAAGCCACTTTACTTTAATAAAATAATATCCACCTTATAAAGCTGCAGGGTTGAAATTACATTAAGTATTTTGTATATTGCAAAGCGCTATACAGATGTGCAATGTTAGCTGATATTTTTGCTGTTTTTATTACCACAGTTGTTGTCAAGGCTGTCTACAGTTTGCATCTGTTACTTACTATGGCCTCTGTACTTAAGACTTACAAAGCTTGCTTCTGTCCTTTATTACCTGAAAGAGAACACTATATTAGGGCTCTGTTATTTTCAGAGAAGAAAAGAGAGCTTTTTGCTGGATCAGTTAACAAAAATTAAAGGCCTAATTCTATGTATCAATCAGCATTTCCTCAAGCCTAATGTAAGAACTGAAAACATTATCTATAGTACTTCTCCATGAGAGGAGATATGCTGAAGGTCCCAACAGTTAACATTTGGTTGTCATCAATAGTGTTTATAGATATTCTTTACCTTTTGTTTTTAAGATAACAATAAAGTATTAATTACTATCTGTCTACTTTTAGAAGTATTTTCTAATAATTTTTATTGCACTAGATTATTGTTTGAAAAACAAAAATTATCTTGCTGTAGTTTCTTTTTGGTTATGTAATACTTAATTACTTTGAAATCTCAATATACAATGAGGATATGAAGTTTTTATGCTTAACAGAACAAGACATGAGTTCAAAATGGTTAAGAAGTACTAAAAGGCCTGGCTAGTGTGACTCAACAGTTGAGTGTAGACCCAGTATCCAAGAGGTCACTGGTTCGATTACGGGTCAGGGCACATGCCCAGATTGTGGGCTCTATCCCCAGTGGTGGTGGGGAGGGGGAAGATGTGGAAGGCAGCTGATCAATGATGTTTTTCTCTCTCTATCCTCTCCCTTCCTCTCTCTCTCTAAAAATCAATAAAAACATATTTTTAAAAAAAACAATGAAAGTGAACTCTTGTTTTCAGATGAGGAGATGGCTCCATTGAGTTACCATTTGGTGCACTTCAGAGTCCACACTATAATGGGGGAACTGCTCCATGGTTAGAACTCCAATTAGAAGTCTAGTTTATTATTTGGAAGTTTTTGTTTATTACTTTGCTTCCTCTCATTCTGCTAATGTTTTTCCTAATGTAAATTTTGTAGCAACTCTAAATCCATGGAAAGAGCAGGACCTTTAGCTTGTCACAGAGTCCTTGGACTGCCTATCAGTGAGCCAGTGCTACAGAAATCAGACATCAATCCTTTAGCTTTAAGGCGACTAGGAAGTCTACAATTGAAATCTCATTTGTCATTTGAGTGATGTGCCATTTATTGTACAAAAACACTATAGGCATAGGCTATTTCTTGAAGAAGATATATCTATGCTTTGGAGGAGGCACTTTGCTGGGGAAAAATCCTTTGGTTTTATTGTTACCCCTCTCGATAGTTCTAAAAAGCTTACCCTTTTCACTTTAATTGGTGTTTTGCTTTGTGATCTCTGTCCTCACTTCCATTTATTTCTTGACCTACTCTTTGTGGCAGAACATCTCTATCCTGAAGTTATACCAATGGGAAAGGTTAAGTCTTATTTCAAAGGAACTGTGAAATTCCATTCCATATTTTAAACTTAGTCCATTGGAAAAATCACATTTTTCTTTATTTTATTTGGATACCCATGCCCTTATTCTCTGAGGATTATAAGGGGTTTTTAATCTTTCTCACCTATTTATAGAAGCTGAGAATTTCCCCTTTTCCAGAAGCAGTTGTATTAAGAGAAGCTTATTTTCTTGAGATCTCAACCAGGGTTCTCTAAGGAATCTAGGATCTGCACAGTCACATTTGCTTTTCCAAATAAGCAACTAGAAATATTTTAACTTGTCTTGACTATAACTAAGTTACTCTTAAAACAAAAAGTTTATAATCAGTTGAATTCTCTCAGCTTCTGGCTTACAGTACTGAAGAAACTGTTACATCGAGTAGACAGGCTGGAGTAAGAATTTCTGATTCGATTGCGTATTATTTATTGTGGAAAGAATGTTTTCCCTTCAGACTGACTAGGAACAAGATGTTTAAACATAAGCCAGGGTGGAGACCAGTTTGTTTGGTCAGCTTCAGAGGAGCCACGTTTTCCTACTTACCATGAGTCCGCCAACTATTCTACCCCCCACCCCCGCCCGATTCTTCAAGTTTCTTTGGAATTTTTACTTAATGCTCCGTTGGATAAGGCAGTGATACGGTGCATACGTGGCAATAAGAAAGGCTAAGGCTGTTTTTGGAGCAACGTGATTTTATGTCATTATGAATTTATGTTGTACTGTGTGTGTATATATAAAATGTTTTCTTTTTTTTCTTTTCCCCGGTCCCCCTCTGCTGTTGGCTTCTGTATTCCCATAGCTGGATTTCATGCAGCAGGACTCCATTTATCACAGGCGGTGGGAGGGTGTACAGAGATATGAAAGGGTTACTGTTCACATTTCCTGTGTAATTCCCTGTGATCTTACTGAGTTGTATATAATTTCTTTTTTGATGTTAAACATTCCCAGGCTCCTATAACCTTCTAGCCTACTTGTACTGGCCAAGTTTGTCCCAGGTGATCGTATAGGCAAATCTCCTGTTTTTAAAGATTAGAAATCACTCCTTCCTCCATGAGGTAGGCTAAATGCTCATGCCTTTGTAGTCCTAGAAGAAATCCTTTTGATTTAAAACAAGAACAGAAAAGTAATATGTTAGTTTTAAAATTTAAATTCAACAGCCAAGTTTGTTGTCAAATTAATTGTGTATATTTAAAAATCTACTGATTCCTGGCTTAGTGAATTTCTAGTTAAATGAAACCCCTTAATCTATTAAAGATTACATTCTTCCTTCTTAAAACGCACTTAAAAAATGGATTCTAATTCTAAAAGGGTAGATTTGAACCTATCATCTTACTTTTAGTTTATTTAATAGGTAGATCATTTTAAGTTGCCTCAGATATAAAGCTGCTTACCTGAAACTTTAACACTTCTGCGTCAGTTCCATTCAGAAGATTGTAGTTGATCATAGGGAGATGCTTATTATTTTCTGCTTTTTTTCTTGTTTTAAAAGTATATCCCAACTCATTATTATTCCACAATATTTTAAATATACATTTTTGTTGTTGGATAAAGGTATTCTATTTTTGCCTTTGCCTTAAGTTTTAGAAGAAAATGTTATGCTCTTATGAAGCATAAGAATGTGTCAGCAGCTGCTCATAAATCAATGGGGACCAGCACTGTGCCAGCACTGCCCACATAGCAGGTAATGAACTTTTGTTTAGACACAACTTTGGGCAAGTTTCCTTGTATAACTTATAGCACATCTCTGTGTCCTAATTCAAAAACATAGGAACCTAGGGGTTTGGGGAATAAACAGAAACAAAACAATGTCTCTTTGAAGGAGTTTCTAGGATAATTTAAGTTTTCTGACATTTAGGCCAAAGAAAACTAATTGCATTGCTTAAAGCAATGAGATAAAATGTTTTTATGCACTTAACCAAGTGTATATGGTTTTATATGGACATGGGTAGATGAATTTTTAGATGAATTCTGTTTGGATCTGCTTTAGAGAGCCTACATGCATGGTTGATATTTCTCATTCAACTTTAGTTCCCCAATGCCTAAAACACCTGTCACAAGTAGGTTTTTCAATAACAGTTTGTTGAATGAATGAACGAAAGAGACTGCCACGTTACTTTTGTAGATCCTTAATTATTTTATATATGTGTAATTATGTGCATGTCAATAATGTTACTCTCATCATTCCTGTTTATATTTTTCAAAGTCCTTTGCTATTAAATATTTAATCCCCTCACAACATTTTGTGCCCAAGTTCTTAAGTGATCTACACCTGGTTGGCCTAACCATGACATTGCTCTGCAATGAGAAAAAATAATATTTAGTCATAAATTAGTTAAATCATAGTCTATTAACATTTCCTAAAATCAATAAGCCCAATTTATTAGTACATAGTAGAAAAATACTTATATTATCTCCCAGGTATTATTTGTTCCTAGGACCATCAAAAAGTACTGCATAGTAATGTAAATCTATCAATAGATACTTAAAGAATGCTAATGTGAACAGCATTGTGCCTGGTACTTGGTCCTGCCATCTGAAGTCTCCTAGACTTCTCAATGAACAGGATACGTGCACTAGTCAAGTTAAACAGCAATTTGAAGGTGCATTAAATATGTTATATGTTAAGTGAGAGGCCTGAACAAGAATCAAGTAGCTTCCTGGAGGAAGAAGTCATTTTGACTTGTATTAGAGAGTGGTGAAAGACTTCACAGAGGAAGGTTGAGTTGGGCATGAAACAAATAGTCGGCGTCTGGATATAAAGGAGTGAGGCTATTGGATGTTTATAAATATGGGTGATAGTTATCACACTTCCTGTTCCCAGCAGCAGTGAAGAAACAGCAACAAAAAGCTTAAGTATATGATGGAGGCTTTTCTCCATTGATGGTGTATTTATTCCTTATTTTTTACTGAAGTGGAATTTCAGAACAGCTTTCACTGAGGACATACAAGAGCTTTTTTTGGTTATAAGGATCCACTTCAGTAGGAAACACTCCCAAATCTCTCTCTTCCAATTAAAATTTCAGTAGGAAGACAGAAATAAGATATATTGAAAAGTTATTATTCATGACTACACTTTGGTAATAAAGGCCCCATCCAATCTCAGTGGCAAGTTTAACAGTATCACTCCTGAATTATACCTTGATTTGAAGTCTAACATATAAGGAGGTAGATCCATATTTACTTTTTTTTCATTGATAGAGGTAGCTGTAGTCACTCTATGTAAATATAACTTCACAATAATTATTTATTAACCTGTTAAAGGTTGTTCTACAGTAAAAACAACTATTGCATTAATATCCTAAATACTTATATCCAAATCTTGATTGTTAAGCAAATTAAAAAATTGATAGAATTTGCATTGAGACCCTTTGATTATATTTACTTATTATTACTTACTAGAGGCCCGGTGCACGAAATTCGTGCAGGGGTGTGTGTGTCCCTCAGCCCAGCCTGCACCCTCTCCAATCTGGGACCCCTCGAGGGATTTCCGACTGCCCGTTTAGGCCCGATCCCATGGGCAGTCGGACATCCCTCTCACAATCCAGGACTAATGGCTCCCAACTGCTTGCCTGCCTGCCTGCCTGATTGCTCCTAACTGCTTCTGCCTGCCAGCCTGATCACCCCCCAACCACTCCCCTGCTAGCCTGATCACCCCTAACTTCCCTCCCCTGCCAGCCTGGTCTCCCCTAACTGTACTCCCCTGCAGACCTGGTTGCCCCCAAATGCCCTCCCCTAGTGGCCCAGTCACCCCTAACTGCCCTCCCCTGCAGGCCTGGTCCCCCCAACTGCCCTCCCCTGCAGTCCTGGTTGCCCCCAACTGCCCTCCCCTGCAGTCCTGCCCCCCCCAACTGCCCTCCCCTGCAGTCCTGGTTGCTCCCAACTGCCCTCCCCTGCTAGCCTGGGTTCCCCCCAACTGTCCTACTCTGCTGGCCTGGGTTCCCCCCAACTGCCCTCCCCTGCAGGCCTGACTGCCCACATTTGCCCTCCCCTGCCAGCCATCTTGTGTCCACATGGGGGTGGCCATCTTGTCTGTTGGAGTGATGGTCAATTTGCATATTGCTCTTTTATTAGATACGGTTATTGAAAGCAAACATTTTGCTGCATTTTACTTTAGAGCTAAACTTCTAGCTGTAGTTTTATTCTGTTATTGTACAAAGGAAAAATAATACACCAATGAAAGAAAACCCATTTGTCCAATATAGTAAAGAGAGAACCTTAAGATAGTCTGCAGACTTTATATTTTTAGTTTTTTGGCCAGTAGCAAATTTATGTGATCCTATGCATATCTCTAAACATCCCTATTTGTTCAACTGTATGAATTGCTGCCAGTGTGATAATGAGAGGGAAACTATAACCTGTGCTTATTTCCCACACTCTGTTTTTCTGATGATTTAGAGTCTTTCAAGAAGTTACTAGGTGATCCAAGATTTAAAAGTTTGGTGGTCAGCAATTTTATGAAAGATGGGAGCATCTCGTGAGTATTATTGATATATTTTTAACTCAGTATTTCCCAAATGTATTTGATTTTGGAAATGCCCACTGCCTGACTTTCCATCTTCCTTTTTCCCTCCCTTCCTCCTCCCTCCCTTCCTTCTTTTTTTTGTCTTCCTTCTTCCTTCCTTTTTAAAGAACACTAAAATTTTCTATAGAACAGGTTTCAGGAATTGTCCTGTAAAGTGTGTATACACACACATTATTTAGGTCTGTTGCTTAAGTTCATTTTTCTTTTAATCTCTTTTTTCTTAAGGCAAGGATGGGTTATAAAGGGAAAAAGAATAACTTTCAAGTCTTGCTAGCTCTTCTCATGTCATGTTTAGTGGGGAAGAGGCTCCCATCCTATCTGAAACAAGGTTTAAGATATGTCTGAAGTTTAAGAGTTCATAATCTCTGCATCTTCTATAACTCTGAAAAAAGTAGGAGTTGATCAAGCATAACATAAGTTACCTCTGGGTGTGGGAAGTGGGGAAAGAGTAGGGTGGGTTAGAGGTAAAATGAAACTTTCACATTTTAGTATGACTACTTTTATTCTGTTTGAATTCTTCCATTAGTGTGAATTCCTTTTGTAACCTTAAAAACAAAGAACAAATTAAAAGATATTCCTTGGTGAGAGAACTTCTACTTTATAAAAGGATTGCTTACTCCAAGCGTTCGTAAGTACTAGACTCTCTGATGTTTTGAAACTTACTTTATGAAGGGAAAAAAACAATTTTAAACCTTTTCTTTTTCTTTCAGAAAAAAATTTTATTAAGTTAGGTAAATCTGATTAGATAAATCTAATACCCCTTGCTCTTGCTATTATGGCACATATTTCTACTGTCACTAATAATATATTATGCCATCATTTTCCATTTATATACTAAGTGATAAACTGGGTCTCATTTGTTTTTGTATCTGCAGCACTAATTTTACACCATGCCTGGTATCTAGTAGGCATTCATAAATGTTTGTTGATATGGGTGTAGGGAGGGGGGAGACTTAATTGCATAATTATTCCTAGGGGAATACATTAGTGCTTGCCACTGTCAAATCTTAAGAGAAATATGTTATTGTTAAAATACCTTTAAAATATAGTTTAATTTATTTTTGATTTATTTATATCTGTCTCCTCTCAGAAAGAATTTACGATGATATTCATTAGTACACATAATATGACATAAAGTTTAAATAAATGAGTAAAATAAACAAGTTGGAGGACCTTGTTAATTCCCATTTTTAAAACTCAATAGAAAGTGATAGTAATCAAGACGATGTGGCATTGGCATAAGGATAAGCATATAGATTAATAGAGTGGAGAGTCCAGAAATAAACCCTTACATTTTTGGTCCATTGATTTTTGACAAAGCTACACTAAGACTTCAATAAAGAAAGGATTATCTTTTAAACTAATGGTTCTGGGAAAATTGAATATTCATATTTAAAAAAATGAACTTTCTCATAAGAACCATGCACAAAAATTAATTCAAAATTAATTATAGACCTAAATGTTAAAATTATAAAACATGTAAAGGGAGGCATAGAAGAAATTTCATGACCTTGGATTAGGCAAAGAGTTGTTAGATGTAATACCAAAAACATGAAAATAAGAGCAAAAAATTGATAAATTTGACTTCATTAAAATTAAAAACTTTTGCACTTCATAAAGACACTGTTAAGAAACTGAAAAGACAAGCCACAGAGAAAATATTTGCAATTCATATCTGATAAAGGACTATATCCAGAACATGTAAAGACCTCTAACAGCTCAATAATAAGAAGACAACCCAATTATAAAAAATAACTGAATAGGCATTTCATTTTAAAAGATATATGAATGATGAATAAGCATGTGAAAATATTCTCAACAGCTTTAGTTATTAGACATATATACATTAAAAAAAGTGAAGTATTACTTCTTACCCACTAGAATGCCTATAGTCAAACATACAGATAATATCTGGTGTCTAGGATGTGGAAAAGTAGGAACTCTCATACATTGTTGGTGAGATTGCAAAATGGTGTACCTACCTTGGAGAACAGGTATGCCATTTCTTTTAAAATTAAACCAGCTTACCATACATATTAGTCAGGCCATTAGGATGTATCTATAGGAAGAGATTATTTAAGGAATTGGCTCACATGATTGTGGAGGTTGGCAGGTCCAAAATCTGGTAGGAGAGGCCAGAAAGCTGGTCTCAGGAAAGGGCTGTAGTTGGAGTGCAAAGCCAGCCTGCTGGAAAACCAGTAAGAGTTGACATTGCAGATGAAATCCAAAGTCAGCCTTCTGGGGAATTCTTTTTTGCTCAGAGAGATTAGCCTTTTGTTCTATTCAGGCCTTCAGCTACTTGGATGAGGCCCACTCACATTATAGAGGGCAATCTGCTTTCCTCAAAGTTTACCAATCTAAATGTATGGACTCATCCAAAAATACTCTCCCAGAATAATATTAGACTGAATACCTGGGCACTGTCTAGCCACATTGACACACAAAATTAACCCAGAAATTTCACCTCTCAGAATCTACTCAAGAGAAATGAAAATATATATCCACACACAGACTTGTATATGATAGTTCATAGTAGCTTTATTCATAATAGATAAAAATTGAAAATAATCCAAATGTCCATATACTGGTAAATGGACAAACAAAATGTGATATGTCCATGCATTGGAATACTATTCAGCAATGGAAAAACAAAAAGGAAAATACGGGTATATGATGTAATATGGATGAGCCTTAAGAATATGATAAGTGAAAGAAGCCAAATTCAAAAGATTAAAAATGGTATGATCCCAATTGTATTATATATATCTAGATAGAACAAATCAGAGGAGGTCTGGGGGTGGGAGCAGTGATTGACCGCATATAGACTCAAGAGAATATTGGCGAGTGATGAGAATGTTCTAAAATTAGATTGTAGTGATGATTACACCTTGGTAAATTCACTAAAACATCATTGATTCGTACACTTATAACAGGTAAATCCTATCTACACTAATAAAAGAGAAAGATGCAAATTGACCATACCTTTGTGACGCCCACCAGCCAATCAGGAGTGAGTATGCAAATTAACTACCAAAGATGGCAGGTTAATTTGCATGCACATGTGCTGAGAGGCCTGGGGCGGGGCAGGACGCTTGTGTCGTCGCCATGGCAACAACGCAGGCATTCCACACTGCCCCAACTGCTCTAGGCCTCTGGGCGGTGTGGGAAGGCAGAAAGGCGCCTCCAGGCTGGAGCAAAGGCGGTGCCGGCAGCCAGGGGCAGGAAGGCCCATTCTTGCATGAATCTTCGTGCATCAAGCCTCTAGTGATATATAAATTGTACCTCAATAATGTAAACAAAAGAAGGATGATAAAAATGAGACAATGGACTAAGGGTCAGACACATAATGCATTTCATAAAAGCTCTTGTATTTGCTTGAGGTGGATGACAAATTTTGCTGTTAGCTCTTTAAAAAGACCTCCCATAAGATGAGATGTGTTTTCTAGTTTTCACAAGATCAAAATTTGTCAGGATCTTAGTGGAAGCCTAATAATTATAATTCATAGAAAAATATATCCCTTTAGGCATACTGCAATATACTCAACTATCTCAACAGCATCCTTATAGTAAATAACTGAAGACTGTTCTCCAAACATGTTCTTAATCTTTTCTTCAACACAGACTAGTGACTTAAAAATCAAAGGCTACTTTATTAAACACAGTTCTCCGGGTGAATAGTGAGGAGAACAGTAAAAGGACAAAACCAAAGAATGCTGTTTAGTGTTGGTATGTCTTACTCCAGACATTTAGGATAATGAATGACTGGACTAAATAGACATGCCGCAGTTCTGCAGAAGCTTTTGGTGAAAACTGAGTAACAATAAGATTAGCATTTTACTCCCTGACAAGTACCTGGAATGTAGTTACTCTCAGATACAGTTAGATGTGGAGTCTTTTGCTTTAATTGTCAGCTAGGTTGGGAGTAGGATTGACATCCTCTTAGGAAAGTTGGGGAGCCTGAGGAGGAAATGTATTTGAATAGACTATCTACCACCTGTGAATAGAGGTAGCCTGAAGAAATATATGCTGGTGGGTTATGATTCTTCCTGAGAAATAATTTTGGCTATTCTCCAGTGCTTAGACAAAGGGATTATTCAGGCTCTAAAGACAGTAGAACATGGTCATAAATATCAGCTTATAATACTGTATTTTTCATTGTAAATTTTCACAAGCGTTACATGCCTATTGTAAAGATTTTAACAATTGATTTCATATGCCAAATATAGAATATGTAGAATAAAAAAATAAAGTCTCTTTTCTTTGTACCCTACTTTGCTATTTTCCTATTAGTGTATATTTAAATTGCTTTTAGTTTATAGTTGTTGTAATGCTGCAATAAATATACTGGTGTCAGACACTCTTCCATTTAATAAAAGATACGAGTCCTGGTCGGTGTGGCTCAGTTGGATGAGCATCGTCCCATGCACCAAGAGGTCACAGGTTCAATTCCTGGTCAGGGCACATGTCCAGGGTTATGTATATGGTTCCTGGACAGAGGTGGAAGACTGCGTTCACATGACCTTTCTAGCATGGTAATCTCAGGGTAGTCAGACTTCTAATTCTTTGGTACGGGGCTCCTAGAGAGAATTTTCCAAGAGATAGCAAGTGGAAGGTGCCAGTGTCTTATGGCCTAAAACTGGAAACTGGTATCCCATCACTTCAAAGCAGCCCCAAAACCCTCCCAGTTTCAATAAGAGGGGACATCGGCATGACCTATTAATGAAAGGGATATCAGAGAATTTGTGACCATTGTAATCTACCATAGTCCACCTTCTGGTCACAAATGATTTACATTCCTCCTATATTCAAAATATACTTAACCCCTTTTAAGAATCCCAAAGTTCTCATCCTACTATGGCTTTAACCTCAAGCTTAAGGTACAGGGGCTTGTCATTTAAATCAGGTCCAGATATGCGGGAAGCTCCACAAGTGCACTTCCTCTCAAGAGAGCA